CGATGCACAAACATTGGAACGAAACTCACATCGCTCCTTCACGGTCACTGCAACAAGCTCGGATTGAATTTCAACGAGAAGGTGCAAATCGTCAAGAGCGCCGGTGACAAGAAGGCCACTGAGTTCACATACAAACTCCCATGCAACAAGGCTCATCACGATACTGTCATCAAATCGTTGAAGGAGACATGCAAGGAGAAGGACTTGACAGACACAGCCACAAACGAGAATCAACCGGATGAGGATGACTCGAGCTCAAGCTCTGAAAGTGCTGAGAAGAAGCCAGCAACCGCTGCTCCAGCTAAGCCCGCAACAGCTGCTCCAGCTAAGCCAGCAACAGCTGCTCCACCAAAGAAAGTTACATCGAAATCAGGCAAGACTGTCAAACCAAGCAAACCCGCTCAAGTTGACTGCGACAAGGACCACCAGATCAAGGTTGAGAACGATGGCTCACTCACAGGTACCATCCGTGTTGGAGGTTGCCATGCTAGTCGTTTCGCACGTCGTCCTAGCCGATGCACAAACATTGGAACGAAACTCACATCGCTCCTTCACGGTCACTGCAACAAGCTCGGATTGAATTTCAACGAGAAGGTGCAAATCGTCAAGAGCGCCGGTGACAAGAAGGCCACTGAGTTCACATACAAACTCCCATGCAACAAGGCTCATCACGATACTGTCATCAAATCGTTGAAGGAGACATGCAAGGAGAAGGACTTGACAGATACAGCCACAAACGAGAATCAACCGGATGAGGATGACTCGAGCTCAAGCTCTGAAAGTGCTGAGAAGAAACCAGCAACCGCTGCTCCAGCTAAGCCCGCAACAGCTGCACCAGCTAAGCCAGCAACAGCTGCACCAGCTAAGCCAACAGCTGCTCCACCAAAGAAAGTCACAAAGAAATCAGGCAAGACTGTTAAACCAAGCAAACCCGCGCAAGTTGACTGCGACAAGGACCACCAGATCAAGGTTGAGAACGACGGATCCCTCACAGGTACCATCCGTCTCGGAGGCTGCCGTGCAAGTCGTTTCGCTCGTCGCCCTGGTCGATGCACAAACATTGGAACGAAACTCACATCGCTCCTTCACGGTCACTGCAACAAGCTCGGATTGAATTTCAACGAGAAGGTGCAAATCGTCAAGAGCGCCGGTGACAAGAAGGCCACTGAGTTCACATACAAACTCCCATGCAACAAGGCTCATCACGATACTGTCATCAAATCGTTGAAGGAGACATGCAAGGAGAAGGACTTGACAGACACAGCCACAAACGAGAATCAACCGGATGAGGATGACTCGAGCTCTAGCTCCGAAAGTGTGGAGAAGAAACACAGTACGGCGAAGACAGTAACTGGAAAGAAAGAGACAGGTAAGAAGAAGTCGGCAGCACAGAGCGCTGATGTGTGCGATACTGGATTGTTTTAAGTGCGATTTGTAGTCGGGAACCTGATTTTGTTTTGTAGTGTGTGAGATTTAGATAGCATTCGTGAAAGTGGTGGTGTTAGTGATAGGTGGAAAGTATGGGTGTTGTGTGCGGAAACGTTCACAATTCAGTGTGATTTCTTTTATGAGATGTGCGGTTTTCGATGGGTGAAGGTGTAGGTTGGACCTCCATGGAGGCCCTTTAGTTGAATGACGCGAGAAGCGCGATTCGTTTGAGATGATTGAGTTTGTGGAATTAGTCTATTCTCCGGCGTCGTTGACGGTAACGCGGCTAGCTTGTCGTGAGTTATGAGAAAAATGTTTGTTTACGCATTTTTCATGTATTGTCGGTATCAGCATAATGGGAGCTGCGTTTTTGGCAGCGAGCTCTTGATTGACTGAAAGGGGTCTTGCATCGGGAATGATTGCTTTTAGTTGATCTGTTGGAAGGTTTGTATAGCTGTGTGAACATTCTCGAGTGAGTTGTTGGAGTCGGTGATGGACAGTGTAGGACTTGCGATGAGACGATTTCTAAGCGAATGAACGTAGTATTATGTGGTTGGTATCGTTTTTTTTTCTGTTGCGTTTGAGGATGATAAGTAGACGCGTGTAATATTGTCGGAAGAAAATAGTGTTTTTGCGTGACGTTTTTGTGTGAGTGTGATTTTAATCTGACTGTTGAGTATTGTTGAATTCGGAAGAATGGATGTCAGAATATGTTGTGCATAGGTACTGTAGTATGGTAGTTTAGCCTATTGGATAGTTAGGAATGCGTTAATGAATCGTGACTTTACGCATTGGAAGCGATGCCTACGGAGTTCGAGCACTTCGAGATTTTGTGCTAAGTCCGCGGTTCAAAAGCGGCATTGCTTGACGATGTTGTGGGTGTGTAGCGGTGCTGTCTATGAATGGAGGGTGTTGTTTGCCCGTGCAGACTCTATATAGAACGATATTGCAGCCTGGAAAAGGATGTAATTTTTTTAACATAGTTTTTTCCACAAATTATCGATTGATCTTCGTGCTAGCGAAATTTGTAACTAAAAGAATGTATTACCCTCACCGGGATGACTTATAATTCGGCGACGTGGAAGCCTGACTCACATTCAGACTACAACTCAAACTTTTTCTCAAAGACAAGAAAACAAACAAAATTCACTAATTTTTATCGAACGTCTTCTTCGTCGCTCGGATATAAGAATCATATAACGACTACGAGCGTGGTGAGCTTATACTGTGGATCTGAAAGATGTATGACATAGAGAATACGTAGATCGATGTGAAGATAGCACGACCGGAGCTGTCACGAAGAAATAAAGAACCATCTAGGATTTTCTACATGAACAAATCTCGTCCATAAAAATAAGTTCGTTCGGTGCAGAGTGAAATTCTACATCAGGTGAAATCATTTTTCTGGATGAGACATGTTCTTAGGAATAAACTTGGCGAGTGATCAATTAGTTAAACATCGGATTCTAGTTGAGACTTATGTGAATGTCAAAAGTGCTTCGGATAGGAGTAAGGCGTACCGTAATGACCGCGCCTCAAAATCATCATTGCAGCTCTTTCCGATGAGTACGATCTTTCGTGAGCTGTTTTTCCATGAGTTTTTGCCCAAGTCGCTGTAACAACAAACTGGTTGAGTAATTAACCGCTGCACACGGTGTCATGTTTATTGAGTACTCTACATGACCAGAATGTGCCTATGTCACAATAAGACACGCGCTTATATAGAGAAGAGGATATATATATATATATGAACCGGTGAAAGTATGATATAGAGGTGAGAGAATAGAGAACAGCAAGTTATAAACGCTATCATTATTGTTACAGTCAGGGAATCCCATTCTGTGATCGATCAAATAGAATATCTGATTTCAAAACTGTTGCTAGACAGCCTTCTCGGGCGATCAAGTCCATATAATAGAAAGCAGCTAAATATAATTCTCACCAAGCGCGTCGCAATTGACTTGACTTTCGTCGCTGGAGTCGAATGCCGATTTCGTGATCAGCAATGCTATTAGATTTGATAGAATCCTTGGATATTATAGGGTTCGACTAAATTTCACCATTTGATCGCTATTTGGGCGATACTGAAAAGAAACAAGCACTTACTCCGACGCTAAAACCGCTTCGCGCACTTCAACATCTTTTCTAGAAAATCAAGGCCTCTCTAAAATATTTTCCAGTCTCGCTCCAAAACTAGATCCCTGTGACCCCTTATCCATTTCCAGTATAGATGGAAAAGGACGAATTTTCGAAGCCAGAACTTACCCACTGCGTAGAAAATATCTACCAAACCCGCTTTTTACACTACGTTTTTCAACAGCTGCGACCCTCTTCGAAACAGTTTTTCACTAAAACAGTCGTCTAGTAAAAAGCTAATTCCAGCCAACACATTCTCATAAGCACTGAGTCATCTACTCCATGCGTTCGATATATTTTCCAAAAAGGAATCTCCTATTCTGCCTATTTCTTTACGTTCCCGGTCAGTCCTATCCACACTAGAGCCAACTTCTATTCTGAATTCATCATATCTCGCTCAATCATTACTATATTCAGCTGAGCAGAACGTTCGCCCGTATATTACTGAGCCTGTGGGTGTGACGATGAAGACAACCGCGACCGAAACTTTTTCTCAACACACTATCAGGCTTCTGCTGCGATATTCTTCAGGCTCACCTATCCATAAAATTCCACCCTACTACATCCATTCCTTGACAATTCATAACAGACAGAGACGCACACCGCACCACATTCACAACAACTACGAAATAAATTACATATAATTTGATTACCACACACGAAGTACTTCCACATAGCCAAAATAATTTCATTTCCCATTTTAAGTAAAATCCGCCGCCACGACCAAGGCTGCCCAACCAACCCATCAGTCGGCTGCACCACACGCCACTACCAAGGCCGCTGGAACTGCTAAGCCAGTGAAAACAAGTGAGTTTCCACCAATACCACCACTAGCAGCTGACTATTCCTTCTTTCAGCCAAAAAAGCCGGAGGCAAAGACGATTCCTCGAGCGAAAGCGGAGAGAAGAAGTCCAGCAAACACCCTAAACCAGCCGGAACTACCAAAGGTGCTCAACCAAGCCATGAATCAGCTGCACCACATGCCACGACCAAGGCTGCCCAACCAAGCCATGAATCAGCTGCACCACACGCCACTACCAAGGCCGCTGGAACTGCTAAGCCAGTGAAAACAAGTGAGTTTCCACCAATACCACCACTAGCAGCTGACTATTCCTTCNCAGCCACGAAGGGAACATCGGGACCAAAACCAAGTAAGCGAGGACTTAGTGGGATTCTGAAGCAGTGAACTTTGCGTTTCTTCCAGCCAAACATGTTGACGATAGTAGTTCCGATTCTGACGAACACCAACATGGAAGCCGTAAACCACGTCCATCAGGTGTGACCAAGGGAACCAAAGCTCCTGGTGCAACCAAGGCAACAAAGGCTCCAGCCACCAAAGGACCAGTTGCCAATGGTACAGCCACCAAGGGACCCGTTGGCACTAAGGCACCAGCTACGAAAGGCACATCGGGACCAAAACCAAGTAAGCGACGACTTAGTGGCATTCTGAAGCAGTGAACTTTGCGTTTCTTCTAGCCAAGCATGTTGACGATAGTAGTTCAGATTCTGATGAACACCAACATGGAAGCCGTAAACCACGTCCATCAGGTGTGACCAAGGGAACCAAGGCTCCAGGTGCAACGAAGGGAACAAAAGCTCCAGCCACTAAGAGGCCAGCTCTGACAAAGGCGCCAGCCACGAAGGGACCAGTTGGAACTAAGGCTCCAGGCAGTAAAACGCCAGGTTCTACTAAAGCTGCACCAGGCACAAAGGCGGTGAAGAAAACGCGAAAGCCATCGGACGGTGGAGGAAAGACTGGTTTTCCACAGCGTAGTTCGGAGTCTGACTCGTGTAAGTTGGAATGGAGAGTTGTAGGTATCGCATAGGCTGTATGGAATGCATTTTAGCGGATTGGTCATCATCATCTGAAGAAGATAAACCAAAACCCACACGAAAGACCCATGTGACGAAGCGCCGTACGGGCCATGTTGTGCGAGTAGGACGTAATTAGGCGTTGGGATTTATATGCTTTTCTTTTGTTTTGAAGATTTTGTCGACATCAGCTGATGTTCCATACAGTAAAGATGGTCGATTCGATTCAGCTTGTGCCAAATGTGCCCTACGTAAAATTAGTTCCACATTGTTGTTGGAAGGTGTAACTTTGGAACAAATTTCCAGTCGACTCTGTGGACGATTCCCTCAAAATTTCAAATATATTTTAGCAGCTGAGATTCGCAAATTCCAAAAACTTGGTCTTAAGTTTATTGACATTGTCAATATCTCGACCGATAAGAAAAATAACTTAATCATTGATTTCGATATTATTGTTGATCCAAAATACAATGGAGCAATTCGTAGCGCTTTGCGACGTGCTGTTGTTTCGGTTGATGTACGTTTATCTTACATTGGGATAAATCTGATTGAACATTAATACTTGTCTCTTTCGCTTTTAGCTTCAACGTGTATTCAAATATCAAGAACGCTATTAAACAATGAACTTAGAATTTTCGTTTTCTCTCGTTTGAATTTTTCCTCGGCTTCTTGTCTTTATTGATCTCCGAGAGGAAATAAAGTGAAAACTCTTATTCAAATCTGGTTTCGTCTTCAGACATTTTCGCTTTGAAGATCAGTAACATCATAGTGAAAATTATTTAAGAGGAAGATTAGCTGATTGCTGATTACGTGGATGGAAGTGTATGTCGGCACTTTAAAAGAAATATAAATGATATAAAACATATATATCATCTTTTTCTGTTGAACAGAAAGAATTGATTCATTCCCAAAAGTATTCGAGAGGGAAAAAAACTCATGTTGATTAAATAATTCTCATTTGATAGTAAACAGATTTGATCATTGAATAATTAAAGAGTATAGAAGAACAAGAAGAGATAAGATTCTTCTTTTTTTGATATATTTCTCTTTTCACAACGATGATCAGCAGTGGACCAACTAGTCATTTCATGAATAAATCGCAATTAAATGTATTCAAGTTGAAAAATTTCACAATCAATGACGATCAAAATTTGTTAACCATCTTTGAAACAATTCGTATTTTATCATCGATATGTTGTGTATTGGGTATTTTAGGAAATTTAGCATTGATTTATATCATTTTTAAAACATCATTTCGTCATGTAAGTTATGGACTGTTGATTGGTACAGTTGCATTTTTCGATTGTATTCGTTTATTTTCCTCAATATTCTATTATTTTCTATTTGCCAATGTCGTTCCTTTAAATTTATTCACGAAATTTATTTATATCGCAACTGATCGTTATCCAATATTTGTTGTTAACTGGTGCAAAGTAAATAAATTCTATCTGAATAGAAAAAAAAACACAACACAATTTTCGATTTTCTTTTCAATCAGGTTTTAATGGCAATTGAGCGTCTCCTCACTGTTCGTTATTGGGAACATCATACGCATCTAGATTGGCGTTCGAAGCATAAACGCAAACAACATCGTCAATTCATAATTTTGATTGTTTTCATTTTAATTTCAGCACTTGTAAGTCAATATCCATATTATTTCACTCAACGATATAAATCTATTGAAATTAATTATAATTATTTTATGGTTGTTATGAAAACAAATGAAAAATATCTTTTTGGATTTATAAGATTTCACGAGAATTTATTTCGAATTATTTCACTTTTGATTCTTGATACTTCATTACCTATCGCAAGTATTTTATTAGTAAATATTCTTTTGTTGAGAGAAATTCGTCGATTACCATTATCCTTACAAGTCAAAGTTAAAGAATCGATTGGAATTTTACTTTTTTTAACGATTCTTTCCATTGCAATTCTTCCGCGAGCATTTCTCACTTTTTATATTTGTCTCAAATTTGATCGAAATGAACTTTTCCATAAGAATTATTCGATCCTTTTCTACATTTGTTTAGGTTTGTTAACAAATTCATTTCTTTCCGCAGAATTTTCTTTCTTTTCTGTCTCTCTCTCTCTCTTTTCAATAGGATTTGAATACTTTAATCACGCAATAACTGGTTATGCATGTTTTCTTCAATCAGCATTACTTCGTAGTGAATTGAAAAATATGATTTGGACAAGATACATTGCACCACAAATGCATTAAAACAAACAAAACTTCACTCTTTCTCTTCTTTTTATTTTGCATTTCAATCGAATTTTCTGATTTTATAAATTGCATAATATATAACTAAACTGTCAATTTCTGTACATTCTGACAAGTGAAACGACGGATATTTTTGTTTTGTTATGGATTCCATGGAAGTAATGGTTGTCCGTTTCCATCAGGAAATGCATTTGTTAAAATTCTAATCCAATCAACTAACCACCAAATACCAAATCCACCAAGAGTTAACATTTTAAAAATGGCACCAGCTATATATCCACCATTTCCAACGCTTAAATAATACCAATCAGCACCGAAAAGTCCAAGAAAAAATGAAAGAAGAAAAGATGCTAATTGAGATTTTTGTTCATAATTACAATAATTTGTTTGATCCTTTGAATTGATCCAACCACGATCACATTTGCAATCAAATTCAGTTTCATTAACAGTTGAAATCGATTGTCCATGATTACAAATACCATTTGTTTCTGCAGAGAATTTAATTAAAATAAATAAAGATAAAAGAATGAATAAATTCATCTCGTTTTCTTTTTTTTTTATTCTGCTTAAAATTCTCTCGTTTTGAACTCTCCTTATATAGATCATCTCTTATCCTTGACGATGGTCATCTGCATGAACAAATTTACCTTTTTTTAAGTTAATTCAATTCATTTGCATGATTATATTTTTTTTTTCAAGAAACAAATTTAGACCTTCATCTTTGCATATTCCTCATTTAAATTATTTTCATATTGAGTAAGATTATTGAAATCTTAAACATGATGTTTTCGATAAAGAAGCGACATCTGTTCGAAACAAATTTTATTCGTTATTTGAAGAGAACCATTTATCGATCAATCTATGTTAATTGATTTACATCAGACTGTCTCAATTTGGAAGAGAAAAACTGATGAAATTAATTGAAAGAGAATATCTTCAATGTCATCTTGATGATTAACAACAAAATACAAAAATATCTTCAAGAAAATAGACATTTTCTTCTCTTTTTTCTCATGAAGAAAATCAACTGAATTCACATTTTTCTACTTGTGATATTTATTTAGGTTGCAGAAAAAAAACTGATAAGACTCTATAATGAATGGTCATCCGTCCGGTTCTCCACAATGTAATCAATGTAGAAAGATTGTGTCAGAAAATGATATTCATAATTGTATACTCAATTGTCGATCAGCAACAATTAATGAATCTTTTGAGACAAATCCATCAAGTCAAACGAAGATTTGTCCATTTTGTCGTAAATTTGTTGAAGATTTATTTTCACATTGTCAAACTTGTTTATCTGATGAAGAAAAAGATGATTCAGTATTTCAAACACCAAGAGGTCAATCACCTATTCAAGTTTGTTAAATATTTTTATTGATGAAATGAACAAAAAATTCGAAAGACATTTTCTCTATAGATAAACGAAATTGTTTTCGTAGATAAAACGAATTCAAATCAAAAACGATGTATCTTATGTTCACAATATATCAATGAATATGATTTTGAAAAACATTGTCGTGATTGTTTAAATAACAATGTCACACAACAACAACAACATCATTTAACAGTAAATTTTCTCATTTCTTCTTTCGGTTTTACTCAAATTTAAAGATTCGATGAAATAGAATGAACAGAAATCATTACAAACAACAATAGAATCAATAAACAAAACACCAATCGAAGAAGATCATTCAGTAAAAGTAATAAACTGAATATTTACAAATCTTTTCTCAAATCAATTTGTTCATAGACAAATCTTGTCATTAAAAAATGTATTTTATGTTCACAAAATATTGATGAAAATGATTTCGTTGTTCATATGACAATTTGTTCATCGAATCAATTACAAGTTAGTTTTTGTTTCGTTATTTCTTACTTTTCCATTCTTTTTTTTTTATTCAGAACAATTCAAATAATGAAAATGAGAAACAATGCGCTTTATATTCGAATTTTATTAATGAATCTGAAGATATTTCTTCTTGTTCGATCGATCAAAATAATTCGAAAGTATAATTTTTCATTTCAATGTCAATGATTTCTAAGTTGAATTTCTTAAGATTGAATATTCCGATGTGATTCCAAAAGCAAAAGAAACAAAACCTAAAATAAATCCAACAACATTCAATTCATCAAACTATGTAAATTCGCATTTGAATCTCAGATCATCTTCAAATCGTATTTTTTTTTAAATATAAATTCTCTTTTAGGTTAATATAAATACTTCTGATGCATCATTGAATGAAGTTAAACCGAAGAAAAGAGATTGTATTTTATGTTTCAAAGCAATTAATATCGAAGATTATGAAAATCATGTTTCATTATGTTTGAATCGAAATGAACAACTTTTGAATATAAAATGCTTTTCATGGTAAATAGAAAAACAAGATTTCATCTTAAAATTGATTTTATTTTTAGTAATCGTTCGAAAGAAAATGATAATGATATATTTTATATGATATCATGTGATTATAATCATCAATATTGTTTGATCTGTCTTCAAAAATCATTGAAAGAATTTGCTCTTAATCGTGAAAAACCTGTTTGTTGTAAAAATAAATGTGATTATGAATTATCTCGTCATGATATTTCATCGATTCCACTCGAACGTCGTTGGTATGATCGACTTCTCNACCTTAAATAGCTGTCACCTATGTTCGTGGAAAGCAACGATTAATTTCTAACCAAGAAGTCTTAAAGCTCCATAAAAATCACAAAGTTTGCTCTTAAAAATATTATTCTGGAAATCGACGACTAGTCGGTCGGCCACTCGCGGCTAGCCGTTACATGTACATTTTCACTCTTCCATTTAGTCTAGAGTCACTTTTGAAACTAATTCATTCATTCTTCTCTATTCCCTGTTTAAAAGTCACCCTCTTTGTGCTACTGTGACTGTCGAAGACAACACCTGACAAGGGAAACAGTATTTTGAATGACTGGCATCAGATGATATTCGTATAGTATAGATGTATATAAAAGTGTGTGATCTCAGTAATATACTGATGACTATGGAGATCCAGCGATCGGACGTCAGTCAGCTATTACATTTTTTGTTCTACATATTGCCGCTTAAAACATTATTATCTAAAAATTGATCCTTTGTCGCAAAAAAGGCTTAGAAGGTGTTCATGAAAAAACTAACACCGTATTCGAGATCCTCGACCTCGATTACCCTTCGGTCGACCCTTACTCAGGAACAAAAAAAATTTCATTACTCAATTAGTTAATTAGCTAATTAGCTGATTGGAATTTCGAAAAACTAACCTCTGATTCGTGATCCTCGGCCTCGATTACCCTTCGGCCAACCCTTACTCGCCAACAAAAAAAAATCATTACTTAATTAGTTAATTAGCTAATTAGCTGATTGGAATTTCGAGAAACTAACCTCGGATTCGAGATCCTCGACCCCGATTACCTTTCGGTCAACCCTTCTTAGTCAGAGATGTAGATTGCTTTTTCGTTAGTGTAAAGTACGTGAACGGACGAACGTACGGACGAACGTACGGACGAACGAACGAACTTTAGCTCAAATTCTTTGTATACCCTCCTTTCAGTAGAGGGAACTAATATCAATAGGAGCTGCATTAAGTAAATTAACATTAATAGAAGATTGATCGAACAACTAAAAGAATAAATTGTTTTGTGAGATTTGTTTTCATTAACTCTATTTGAGTTGAAATATTTGAAAAGTTCTTCTACCTGACGTCGTAATCGCATTTGACATGTTAAATCGTAACGACCTGGAAGTAAATTATCCCATAAAGGTATTTTATTGAAAAAGAAAAGTGTTAAATGGTGAGCAATTGATGAGTCATGAGATTTTATAATAGAAATTCCACCATCATCGTCAATCTTCACTGGTTTTAGTTGAATTATTGGACTTATACATTCTCTAAAAATCATATCATCAACAGATAAACAACGACAATTATCAATTAGATAAGAATAAATAAGTATACCAATCGGTACTAAAATGCTTTTCTTATTTAATCTAAGAAGAAAAAAAAGTTATTAGAATAGTTAAATACAAATGTAATATTATTTGAAAGAAAAAACTTTGATTCCTTTTGATAAATATTTCTAATGAACAAAACAATTGCTCACCGATAATAATATAAACGAAATAATTTCGATGATAATAGAATTGAACCATCTAACATTGGAACATGATAAAACAATCGAATACGATTTGGATACATAAATCGTCTGTAGGCAAAAAAGCCACGTATATCTTTTTTTTGCAGAAGTAAAATGAGTATACCAAGAATAAAACTGTCCCAGATTGAGAAATTTTTCATAGAAAACTGGGTAAATTTTGATTTCTGATAGAAGTCTTTGAGAAAATCGTTCATTCTCGAAAATAATTGCATTTTCATCTTCACTTTCATCTTCATCCATTAAATCTCTTATTGATCGATAAAGAGCAATTGATTTACATTTCAATTGAATTAAATAAAACCACAAAGATGATTCACGTGACCATAACATATGACGCAACGTTTGACATGTTGATGATAATTGAGCTATTTCACCTACTGATAAATGTTGACAAATATTAAACCAACAAAGATCTGGCAATTCGATTGAAGAATCAATCATCTAGAAAAAAAAGAGAAGATTTTAGAGCAAATTTTATACAAATAATTAATCATAGAAAATATAGAAAAGAAATTTTTAACAAGAATATCTGACTAGATAGTTTACTGATTGTTCATACGAGATTGAATATCCAACCATACTTTAATGATCGAAGACAAATAGATTGAAATATTTCATATAATAAGAGATGAATAACCAAAAATATTCACCGAATTTATTTCTGAATTTGTATGACTATTCGTCGCTTCAATGGTAGTTTTGAGTAATTGCATTATACCAAGATATAGACCTCGTTCGAATTCTTCACATATTTGCATAATAATACGAATGTATTTGCATCCCAGGTCAACAAATCCGATGCTGGATCCGACCGTCCGACAAAATCCGATCGTCTTCCTGGAAACGGAATGTCATTGNTTGGAATCCGACTAGAAAAATCCCGTCGGTTGTTGCAAATTTTATGAGCGATCTTTCTAGCTATATTCTATGATGACCCTTAGAAAATCCAGGAAATCCATGTTTCGGATCCGATCGGATCCGAGACCGTCGGAATCCAATGCGATTCCGTCACCAGGATTTCATCGGATCCGTCGAATTCCTATAGGATCCGATGGGATTCGATGGGATCCGGTGGGATCCGAGTATGGGATTGTTCGACCTGGGTCATAACAGTATTGAACAAAGAAGATTGAATATCAATGTTCATAGTGAAAAAAATGCCCGAAATATACTTAATGTACAGTGGATAAGAGAAGATCTTAACTGAACTATAAAAAAAGTTAATAAAGTGAATAAAGAACAAGCAAAGAATAGTTTGATTAACCAAAATCATTCAACTAATCATATCTCTTTTGATTCTATAAAATATTCGAATGTTTAGAATGACATCTATTTAACATCATGTTATAGATATTCTTCTCTGTTCATTAACTTCTATGTGTCGAGTACGATTCAAAATTTGATCAAAATGATTTTTTTTTTATAAAAATCTTTCAATTTATTATTATATATTCTTAGCTTTTGAATATTTTAATTATGCTATTGCTGATTATTCATATTTTTTTCAATCACCTTTACTTCGTAGTAAATTAAAAAATATGATTTTAAGATTAAACATCAAATAAAATATATGAAAGAAGAATTAAATGAGGTTAAAAAAGAGAGTCATGGATTCCATGGAAGTAATTCTTGACCATTTCCATCTGGAAATGCATTTGTTAATATTCTAATCCAATCAATTAACCACCATTACCAACACTTAAATAATACCAATCAGCACCAAAAAGTCCAAGAAAAAAGATTTGATGCGTTATAGCATTTTCCCGGAAACTCAAATTTGCCTTTATATCGAACGAGATGAGAGAGAGGAAAACAAACAATGGATAGACTGGTTATAAAGCTGGCAGAAGAGAGAAGAGACGCATGTCTTATGTCTCGTAAAGAAAAGATTGCGATGCGTTGGAGGGTAGTGTAGTGGTGGTTATCTTCGAATGAACGTCGACGTATATGTGCAGGAACGAGCCGATGTATACGTCGATACTCGTATTTTCTTCGTTCTTGATCAAACGTTTTGTACGTGATTCCGATATAACAATTTTCGTACAGATTCGGCCCACCTAAGAATGATCTATGTTCTCGACGCTAACGTTAATAGTGCGGAGGGTGTTGTTTCACGCTGCCGTTAACATAGCGAATAGAACGGATGAAATCGAACATGTGTACGTCACGTATAGTCGTTAACTGTCTTCACGATGAGAGTCAGGAAGATGGTCGGGTTGTCGTCATAATCTGTGGAGTGATGTGTTGTCGGAGAAGTAGTCGGTGTCAGTAGTCATTTGTCGTGGATCTGCTGTCCATATGTGAAACGACGCACATTGTCCTATAGCATTGTAGCTGGTGTTATGTCATAGTTGGTCTGCGATGTCTTGAAGGTGTTTGAGGAGTGTTTGGTCTTTGTTGGATATGGCTGTGTTAATAGACTTGTGCAGCAATGATGTTGCATATTCTTTGATTTTCGGGTATTTTGGTTATCCGATGTACATATTCGACAGAAGTATAGATCGGCAGGCCGAGGGTAGCGTGAAGCGCTTTGTTTTGGATGATTTGAAGCCGATCCCATACTTTGTCGTTTGCTGTTAGTAAAACGGGATATCCATATGTCATCACTGGTCTTGCAATCGCTTTGAAGATGTTTATCATCGTCTTTTGGTTAGGTTCTTGCGCTGATTTGGCTAAGTATCGTAGAAGACTAATGCGTCCAGCCATTTTCGATTCGAGATGTTGAAGATGATTTCTCCACTTTGATTGTTTTGTCGATAATTACATCCAAGTATTGGGTTGCATCCAAAGGTTTGATGANCTTTGAAGATGTTTATCATCGTCTTTTGGTTAGGTTCTTGCGCTGATTTGGCTAAGTATCGTAGAAGACTAATGCGTCCAGCCATTTTCGATTCGAGATGTTGAAGATGATTTCTCCACTTTGATTGTTTTGTCGATAATTACATCCAAGTATTGGGTTGCATCCAAAGGTTTGATGATAGTTTTTTCGACTTTGACTTCTACTGGATGCTTGTATTTCTTTCTTGGGTGAAGTCTAAAGTGAATTCGTTGAAGGATGTTCAGGATTTGCTGTTGAATGCGCAGGTAGGCGTCACCGGGCTAAAAGAAAAAAATATTACTAATGACGAATAGATGGAAAAGACATCAATTTCATAATATTTATCTCTATTGAATGTATGTACACTAGAAGTCTGTGATTTTCCTGTGCAAACCGTGTTATAAATTATTTTCTCATTGGAAGATACAATACATATGGATGACAACACTTACAAGATCTGAATCGTTGCACCCAAATTGATCATTTCGGCGGCTGGGTCCTTCTAAATCTGAATCGGTTTCGGTACAGTTTTTCTCGATTCCGACCGAATTCAGCAGGTTTCAATCGGATTCGCCAAATTCCTTGCCGCCGAATCTCGGCCGGAAGTTAAAAGGATATTTTCGGTCACTTCCTGACCGTTTTCAGCTCAGAGTTGGCAGGAACCAACCGAGCTGCAATCATCTGGGTTGATGTGGGGTATTTTTAGTAGTAAAAACTTACAGAACCACCTCGAACTGCAGATCGTGCCCGGAACCGGGAAATAGATGGAAGGACGGTGTCGTATGATGGAGGAGGAGAATTGGAGTTTGCCATGTAAAACAGAGAAGTAAACGAATAATACCAATTCATTACTAAATATAGACGATGCATTATTCGATCATTGAATTTAAATAACTCTTCTTATCGACTTCTTTGCTTTTCTTTTTTTCTTTGTACATATCCAATTCAATTTCGATGAATATTATCCGTAGACGGCGTGCTTCGTGTGCGGTAGTATATGGCGTGGTCTAACAGATTTTATCTTTTTATTCTTTTGTCAATGATTAACTTTCGATCATAAGAACTACTATATATGTATCGAAAAATAGTTTTTTCCTATCGATAATCCATTCATATTTAAACGACAAATATGATAGCAAACTATTCCTTTCATTTCATTTCGTATTGATGAGATCAATTTTCAAAGAAATTAAGAATGCAACTATCATTTCACTTCAAAGATATTGTTCATCAGCAAAAGAAAAAGAAAACAAATCATTTTTTTATTATGAATTGAATTGAACCTTAGCTTTTCTACGTAGCATAATCATCAAAATAGAATTTTCGTTGAACGGATTGAAAAAATTTTGAAATTATCTTTTATTATTCTCCATTGAGAATTTCCCTTTCATATCAATGATAATACTGTCATATGAAAAATAGATTTAGAATTATTTTTGAAGGATAGTTTTGTGTCATTTAACAATCAGTCGGAAGGTATAGATCAATTATCTAACAAACTCTTTCATAAGAAATATAGTTGAAAAATCCTTATGATGTAAAGCAATTTCCTACTCATTACTTGAATATTTGTATTTAAACAAGTTTTCTCGTCTCAAAACAAGTTACGTAATACTTTTGAATTGTTCACTTTAATGTATGTTCTCAAATCTTGCAATAAAGATATCTTCCAAACAAATGAACAATAAACTTCTGAGAAACTTGGTTTTTTGTTTATTAAATTGTTTTTCAAAAAAATATATGATTAATTTGNATACGTGATGTGAGATGTGATAATGAACATATTTGTTTATCAATAATGCAAATGGATGATCTAAAATGGAGATTAGATTTAATGTCACGTGATATGGTCAGGGTTCGACGTGGTGTTGCCATGGATTCCGGTGAAAATCAACACAAGTTCTTTTCCATGCTGATTCCATTACAAGACCAACGTTGGTTATTCGTCAACTGGTTTACGAACAAACTTTGGATTGTTGATCAACAAGGAAAAACCAGACTGATGAAAGAGACAAAGATTAAAAATATTCGAAATATTTCTGTTTCGCCTGATTCGTCAATAATGGCACTTCGAACGGAAAAGCCAAATACATTGAAAATATATAAACTTGACTAGAAGGTTTTCTTTTTCTTCTCCTTTCGTGTGGATGTCGTCTCTTGTGATTAATTAATCAAATAGAATATTTGAATGATATCCTTCGAAAAGAAGATTTCGTAGGGACGAACAGATCTGTCAAAGTTTCTAATGTTTTGAAGAATACTGGTTTTTTGAGACAAACCTATTCCTTTCATTTGAACTTTTCTTTGGTAATCAAGATGAAGATCGAGACGAATTCATTATGATCCTGTAGATGTACGAAAGCTGCCTGGAATCGATTATCGGACTCTTGATGTCAAAGCAATGAAACCATACTGTGTGCTTTCTATCACGTGCTATCGATATGAGGCGACAATCACTACGAAATATCAGTTAGGTGCACATGCGTCGATTCGTTGTTATCGGAAAATAACAATTGTATTCGTGACACCGATTATCGGATGTTCGAAAAGACTTACGTCGAATAGAAAGATAGTTTCTAGTGTAGTATCATGATATCTTTCGCTCACCCAGACGAAGAGTAGCCAGGGTGACTATATGAAAAGAAAAAGGAAAGAAAAGATTCGTTATACGATACTTTTCCACAATTTCGTATGCATGTCGCAGAGAGAGATAAATACCCGTATACATGTTAGTATCCTGCACATATGAAGAGATTATTTTATCCAAAAATTCACATAGATTGTCATTTGATGTGTGTCCAATAAAGCTTATGCATGGCTAAACGCATACCAACTTGTACATATGAAAAGGAGATGAATCTTTTATCTTGTATTTTTAGATGTCCCATCCACTGGCAGAATTGAAGAAAATGGTGAACAGCTTCATGCATGCTCATCAAGTGAGCATGATAAACGAATGGAAAAAACAAAATTTGGTCAAAAATAGAAAAGGAAAAAGAGAGGATAATTACGCATGACACTATTTAACTTTAGCAATATCGAATAACTGATCTTTAGATGTGTAGAGAAACATCTCGATCACAGATTAGAACAGTAGGTGAAATTCTTTTCTCTCTCCATTCTTGTGTCGTTTTTTTCTTCGTGTGTAATGATCAGCGTTTCTTTTAGGTCTTTCGTGTGCCCACTGAACTAGTCCATGCCATTTCGAACGACGATGACACTGATTCGCATCCTGAAGTATAATCAATCCGAATGGTTAGTTTAGACGATTTTTCTAATGCTTTAATAAAAGATCTTAATTTTTGTTTCCAGACATTGGCTATGAAGTTTCAACAAGAGTGGAACTCATACGGATGACATATCTTGCGTTTGAATTCGTACGAAGTCTCGGTCGGATGGCATATTCATGGTTCGATTCATTAAAACGCGCTTTTTATCGTGGTTGATCTTGATAGAGTGTTATTCGAAGGAGATTTTATGAGACAAAAAAGATTTTCTTCATGTGTATCTGAAAAGAAATAAATCTCTAACGACATTTGATGAGAAAGCAAAATTTCCTTTGAAAAGTTCTTTCAAAGATATTATTTCAATTTGGTTAAAAACCATGTTTATCCTAATGAACGTCTAGGATCAGTTGCGTGAATGATAGATGAGAAGAGATTGTTTTTAGTGATTCAATGTTCTTTTAATCAGAAGTGCACCTGAACAAACATACCGTTGAAATGAACACAGGTCTCTTCTGAAGTCTATCTTGAAGAGAACCGTTCTCTTTTACGGAGTTACTCCCTTGACCAACGGGCATGTAATTCGATGCAGAATCAAATTCTGCACGCGGAGAACATGTCGTATTCAACGGCAGAAATTTTCTTCCTGAAAAAAAAAGGCGTCCATACACCAGCAGTGGACCCCCTAGTAATGCACAGGTGCATGATTGAGGAAAGGCGGTGGATGATACGGTAGTTCTTTAGTTTGAACAGGGCACCTTGACTCAGACGGAGTGCTGCAGGTGTATATACTGTGTTGAAAGTGAAGTAGTGGCGTTTTACGGCAAAGAATTGTGTGTTTTGGGCAGGTGGCCGATTGATTTTTGGCTTTATGATAGTGTGGTTGGTGCTGTTGAAGGTTTTTGCTATGCGTTGCTAAAGTAGACGGTAGTTGGTAATTTTTTGATCCCCGATGTTAAAGTATGGAACGGTTTTGATTGATTTGAAACGGAGCTCGTTTCTGATTGTTCTTCGTAGTAGCTTCACATCGATGACATTTTTGGTGATTAGCAAACTTGTAGGTAAAGATGAACATCTTCATGTAATTATTTTAAGGTAAACTTCATTTCCACTACGGTACATGCCATAAAGTACATGTGTTCGACAAACAGTGATGTTCTTGCAATCTGAATAATTTCCGGAGCTTTTTTCTTATCTTGCATAAGCTCTGACAGTCGACCAAAGAGTCGTTTTGATCGCAGTTAGACACAAACTATTCTGGCATGAAAACTATCAAGGATAGTTCCTACGTGTGATCTGTTAATTTACACGAATGGAATTTGATAAAATACTCGAGATCCTCAAACTTGTCTATCTCTGATTGATGAATATGCAATGATAATATAGAAGTGAGTGAATTAAGTCAAAACAACGTTGTACTTTATAGAAAAGCCGACGTATGAGAGGTTAGAATAAAGGTTGTGAATCTCTACAAGATGATTATGTTCTAGTTGAACACTCTCGTTTATCGCCTGATAATATTTCTTATTCTGTAGAATATTAATCTCTAAAAATGATGAACAAAAACTATATTGTTAAGTAACTTTATCAATAAAGATTTATTTCATGGAAGTTCATAATTGAAGATTATATTTACTTTTAACTAATATACAAGTAATTAGCATCTAATTGAACAGAAAAACACTTTTCTGTTTGACCTACTAATGTAAGAGAATGAATGCGCAATTGAAAAGGTTTCATTTTTTACGCAAATCGAAACATTTGAAAAGAAAAAGATCATTTGAAGTAAAATCTTTTTTTATATTTCAATATGAAAAAGAAATAAAATGGCACCTAGATTGAAATAAAAACTAGCATTATTCAATAAATAAAAAAATCGTTCTATTAAATATAGTTCGGTGTGCACATACAGCAAATATTTCGACATTTTTGATAAATTCTCGAACAAAAATTGGTCTCATCAAACGAAGCCATCGATGATGTCGTTGATAATTTTTGTTTTAATTGATTTGTTGCAAAACGATTCATATTTGATCCATCAATTTTATTTATATTTCGTTCATCTGTTATAGTCGAATGATCTAATTGAAATTAAAAAAAAAAGAATAGAAAAAAAAGCAACAAATGTTTTCATTTTCTTACCTAAATTATTCCAATCAAGCATTTGACTATAATATCTCTGCGTTAAAAGATATGCATGTTCTTCTAATGTCGAAATATCTCTGAAAGAAAAAGAAGTTTTTTTGAAAAGAAGAATTAAAGTAAAAACTGAACCTTTTGATTTGATTTGCATCGGGTGATTCGTTGAAATATTCTTGAAATTGACCATCAAATGCATCGTTTGATGTTGTTTTTATTTCATTATTATTCAAAGTTGCTACACCGATCGAAGATGAATTTGTCAATGAATTGAATAAATATTTTGCTTTAAAGAGTTCACTACGAAAATGTTCGATACAATAAACAAGATGTTGAGGATGATATGCGATTAAACTTCCAGTGTTTCCTTTCGATAATGTAGAACCTCTGAAAACAATAGATCAAAACTTTTATTTTTCAAAACAAAAATCCTTTTTGCTCAAACCTTCGCGTTGATTCATTTGATAATTTGGAAATAAATTCTAAAATCTTCATTAACAAATGATCTTTCAATTTAAAGAATTCTTCTCTGATTGTTTGAACAGATGTTGTTGTTTCCATTAAGAACTTTAAACGTGAAAGATTTGATTGAATATCTGCTAAAACCTATTTGAAAGAAAATATTGAAAATCATTTGAAATAAAATCGAACCTTGTTAAGATCGTCTCGAGTAGTTTCATGAATATCATGAACAGATGATTTTCTCGATGGTTGATGTGTCGATATTTTGGCAAGTGAAGAACGTGACGAGGGTGAATTTTCATGATTTAAATTTAAATTAGTTGTTGTTGCTTGCAAAGTGTAGGTTTTTTGAATAAGTTCCAATGGTTTATCAATATTTGAATTAACTGATGACATGAAGATTTAATAAACATTAAAAAAAGGACAATTTGAATTTTCTCAAATCAATTAGTGATGCATTTCATCTCTTCGTACAGAGATTATATTTCTACTTCTTCGTCTTCTTCCTTCTCCTTCTTTTTTGATAGTTTCCTTTCGATGATAATAATAATAATAATAATAATGATGATGATGATGATGATGATGAAAAAAATGAACGAGGTGAGAAAAAAGGTAGAAGAAAGAAAACCTCGCAGTTTTTTCTTTTTCTTCTTCTTCTTCTTCAGCCTATCTTCTTTTTTCTAAACAAGATATAAATTAGAAAAAAGAAACGAGAAGAAAGATTTTTGTCACTTTTTTTTCTTCATATTCTATTAACATCTCTTCTGATCGTTAAGAAGATTCACATGAAAATACAAGAAAAATTATTCAGATGATAGAAGATTCTTTTTTTGTATCTGATATTTTATTTATAAAGACAAATAAATAAATCTTCATTTTTGAAGATTCGGAAAAAAACAAAGAAAATATTCCAATGGTGAAGAAATGTTCTCTAATAACCAATCAGAATCGTATCATTTCATAGTTTTTCTTTCGAAAGATCATCTTTATATGGAAAACTATTAATTAAATCTTTTTCAGTTCGGAAGAAAAAAACAAACTTTCTCTCAGTATCTTTCTTTCTTTTTAGAGAGAAATTCTTCGTAATAATATGGGAATGAAAGTAATCGGAAATCTAATTTATCTAATTAGATATATTTATTCGATATTAATATGAATTTAATGAATAACAAGATATCTTTTCATGATTTGATGTTATTTCCTTCTGTTTTAGTAATATATTCATTAAGATTCAATTTCAATTATATTTCTATCAGTTCTAATTATTCATTTCTTTTCTAATCATCTAGACTAAGTAATTAGATTCATTCAAATTGAAATTCACAGATAAATATCACATCGACTCATCAGTGAATATTGTTTTCCACTAAATTAGTTGATTTAAAGTGCATTTCTCAAATAAGTATATTAGAATTCGTTAAAATAACAACAGAGAAACAACTCAGGAAGTTTATTTTCATATGAACCAAGTCATCGAATATGATTTACAATTCTGAAAGTGTATTTTCATCTATGATTCAGTAAATACGAATTGTTTGATAGAAAATAAAACGAGTATGATATTGTATTGAATTTTCATTGCATCTTGGTTAGTCAAATTAGAAATAAACATGAATATTTTCTATTTTTATCTTTCAAATCATTTTGTAAATGTTTTATTAGATGAAATTGAAAGAAACAGAAATAATACTCAACTAAGTCGTTACTCACTTTCAATCGAAGAATATCAACATATTTTGGATGGGATTTTTGTAAACAACAGTCAATCAAAAGAATAGAAATAAATGTCGAGTGTACCTATTTTATATCACATAAAACATTGAAAATTCTTTCACTTGTAAAAATGCTTTTAGGTTTCTTCTCATCATTTTTCTTACTTCAATAGAGAAGAAAAGTGGCAAATTGTTACTGCAATATGATAATAAAGAGAAATCGAAAAACAAAAAAGTGATATTTTGTTGTAGGAGGATGTTATTTTACACTTGATCGAACTTAACAAAGATCGTGATTCCGTATCATCAAAAGGTATCAGAAAATAATAATTATTCAATTGATTTCCGAGAACAAGAAGAATAGATAATCTAAACATAAGTAAAGTAGTTGCTTGAGAATTTCTACTGAGTCTAAAGATATTTAAGTTAAATTCTTTATCGAATAATATTAAGATCGAACAAACTCTCAGGTATATTTTCAACAAACTTGATCACTACTTTTTAAAAAATTTTCTGCGCTCTGAATGCAAATGTTCGTAAAGAATTATTGTCAATAATTATTCAAGCAATAACATAAGAAAACTCTAATGACAACGACATATTTTAACATTCAACACTTTCCATAAGAAATATTCCGTAAATTTCCATAAAAAAAACCGTCAAGGATTTGTCGTTCTCGATTATTCCAGCAGAACATTCTTTAGGATTGAAATCTTGTTCTTGATTAATATGTTCATTTACTTTTTGATCCACTCGTTATTTTCTATATTTAAGGTTTCTTGAAGACGTTCTAATTTCTTACGGAAAGATGTCAACTTAATACATTACTAATCTCTTAGTTCTTTTTATTAAATGAAGCTTGATCAGATACTAAGCAATGTGTAAATCAACAAATTATGTTGATTCTTTATTAGATATTTACAACACACTCCATTCTTTGTTTTTCGAATTCAGATGTCAAGTAAGAAATGATAATACACTGAATAAGCTGAATGAAAAGAAAATTGATTCTGTTTCCTAGATGATTATACTCGAAATCAGTAAGGAAATATCACCGAAGACGGAAAAGCAATGTAGACTTCTTCTCTCGACTGCGTATCATTGTGCGAAATGAAAATGATACTAATAAAAAAATTTGTGTTACGTCTCTTCTCGAGTCATTTCTGACATTTACGAAAGATGAGAAAGAGTGAAGATCTGTCTGCTACACATCGTTAGTCATCTGATATGAAATCAGCTTAATTAAAAACAAAAGTGATCATATACGAAGAGAAAAACGTCATAGTACGATATTTTCGATTGTTTCTTCAATCAATGGTTCTACAAAAGAAAAGTTCAATTCTTTCCAAATCCATTGAAAGATTACAATAACTTCCACACAAGTGTCAACAGTAAAAATGTTTTACTGCATAATATAGAAGAAAATTATGTCCGTAATCCATCGGATAGTGAGTGAACCTTTGATGTTCACACTTCCTATTCAATACAATATATTAATGACACATTAAATCTCATAATACTTTATGTCGAATTAATTCTTTATCGAACTACAATTATCATTGAATTTCATTGTTATTAAAACAAGTAATCGATTTATACCCAGATTGATTCCTACACGTTAATTAACAGATATTATTAAACAATTTAAATCTATTGTTTTGTTGCGAAAATTCCAGTGTTAACGTATGTTCAATCATTTTGTTAAGGATGTCAAAACACACAGTTCAAAAGTACGATAAACGCGTCAGTTTACATTTCCACCTTTGTATATATGTAAATTTTCAGCAAAATTGTTTCTAATTCAACTAATTTCGTTGAGAATCAAAATAAACAGATGTTGTTCGTTGTAATTTATTAAACTTATGATTTGATTCAGAAAAATTGCCCTGATTCATGGTGTCAGGAGTGAACATATAAGTGAATTAGTCATCAACAAGAAAATATTTTTTGCAAGAGGTAATTTATTCAAGTGTAACGAAAAGACCAAGTAAACTTCCTTTTTTATACTTCGATGATTCAGAAAATATTTAGTGACGATTAATTTTGTTTATATCGATAGAGCTTTTTCAAAGTGTTTTAGATATTGAAATCGATCGGTGTTATTGAGTTGAGATGATCTAACATTTCTCGTGATCTCATATCTGATATTATTGTTAAATATTATATCGATCAATTTAATGAAGATTAAAAACAGTATTATTGATTCAAATCGTAGGAATAATAACATATATCTACTAGATAGAGTTTCGTGAAAGTTTGTTTGATCAGAACTATTCCAATAACTACCTTTTTTTTTTTGGAATTTTTTAGATGGGAAATTTTGTTTCCAGTTCTGATGGTCTGCTGGCACGTTTTACTATTCCTCGCTTCTATGCTCGACTTTCTTCTAATGATAATGGCTACATGAATAGAGTATCTTCTGTTGTATCAAAAAGTCCACTTCTAATCGGTTATTTTTTTGGAATATTGTTGGTGATCTTATTAATAATTCCAATCGGCTTGATTTTGTTCATGAAATTAAATAAAGTCATAGTATTACAACAGCAATAAGAACAACTTTACTAAAACAACCATAGACAAGTCACGATTCAATGACAACAACGACTGTATCGAGTCATCTATCAGCAAGAACTATTACGACTACATCAAAATTCTGTTCTATTCCAGTCATAAATGCAATATGGAGTCAATCAAGTGTTGTAGTTGTTAATCCTCTTGGTAAATGTTTACCAGACGAGAATAGTATATGTAGTGCGCGAGATTTCTTTCTTGATAATATTCATAATACTCTTTATATTGCTGATACGGATAATAATCGAATACAAAAATATTCGCTAAATGAAAGTTACAATCAAAGCGAAGGTGCAATTGGCATTACTGTTGCTAAAAATGGTCTTCTTTGTCCACAATCTGTCTTCGTTGATATACATACAGAAGATATGTATATTATGGATTTGGATAAAATGGAAAGATATACCCAATATGGCCATGTCTCCTATCGTGTCCATTTATGGAAGAAAAATGAAAATGTTGGAAGAATTTTACTTAGTCAAACAACGGAACAAGGTTTTTCACGAAATATTCATCATCTTGCACTAGATAACCAAATGAATATATATGTCGGAACAACATATTTTATTGAAAAATGGTTAGCATCAACAAATTATGCCGGAAGAATTATTGTTGCTGGAAAGGACAAAGGCAATCCATCATATTTAAGAAGTCTGCGTGATCCAGGTGCCTTTTTTATCACTGATGATCTGACATTATACATAGCTGATTGGCAAAATAGACTTATTCAACAATGGAAAGCCAATGCAACGTCAGGTGAGATAGTGATCGAATTTTTATCGCGCGTCCAAGGAATAACAATGGATTGTAATGGATACATTTATTTTCTTGACGAAAGTACTGGCAAAATTTGCCAAATAGATATGGTAGAAGGTCAAAGCCGAGAGATTGTCGATTTTAAAAATACTGATGGAACATCCATATTAATTCAGCCAGGAATGATTCACATTGATAAACTTGGTAATATTTTTGTTCTGGGTAGACAACAAGTATATAAATTTCCTCTTGTACATACATAAGATTTGAAACATGATGGTTTGATACATGTACATTCTCATTTTTTTAATAAACACATTCGACACAATTTATTCCAAATTTTGTTGAAGATCATCGATTTTATCTACATGAGAGTCGCTTTCAAGTCACCTAATCGACAATGGCGTGTGTGTGTGAGCGTCAAGGAGAGTAAACGGTCGAATACTTGAATAGTTAAATTCAAATTAGGAAAGTTTAGCCCATTTGTTCTACTGCGATCCATAATTGCAGAAAATTGTGGCACAATTGCGCATACCCAGGTCGAACAATCGCTCATAAAATTTGCAACAACCGACGGGATTTTTCTAGTCGGATTCCAATGCAATTCCGTTTCCAGGAATCCGATCGGATTTTGTCGGATGGTCGGATCCAGCATCGGATTTGTTGACCTGGGTAACCGCCAATCGCTCTCACACTGATATGTACGCGATAGACCGAAAAGAAAAGGAATTGTCTAGTTATTACAAACGTATTGATTTACCTTCCATTTCTGACAACATGTCGAACCAAATGAACGATATTTCGTTTTAAATCAGTAAAGTCGTCATTGGTTTTTAAAACTTCTGAGTAGGAAGCATCTTTTGTATTGATTTGTTTGAATGAATTTTTCGTTGATTTCCATGTTACTCATAATCATTCAGAATCATGATATATATCTTTCCATCATTATTACACAGTACATGTGATTCATATCTATTTATCCAATAGCTAGAGATATTCTTTTCTACAAACAGAAGTGTTTCTGTAGTTAGTATATAGAGCATTATTCTATGTTTCAAATCTTTCAAAAATGTTTAATTAAGTTTCGAAAATTTGCCAAGTGAATTGTATTTCCAAGAAATTATAATCAAATAGATCTCTAATTTTTCTATGTAGAATCAATAACAAATTTCTAATATCTATATAAATACTATCTTTGTCACAAGAATTATTTAATAGAAAATAAAATATCTAATATAACGAGTCGATATCTGTGTAAAATTACAAAAGAGAATCTTACAATAATCATTGTTCCAAAAAACCTACATGATTCATATGAATAATACAATCATCAATTAGCTTTTTATAAATACGATTTCAAATTCTTTCCTTTTTAATTATCGGAGTAATATTGTACGTTTTTCGTAGAATATGTAATATATGAAAAGATCTAATACTGCTGTTGTAAGTAAATCTATAATAGATATGTGTAGGTTACTTTGATATAGAAGTAAAAAATATTCAAATATCCACTAACTAACTATATTACTTGTACTATAGGATAATATATTTAAGGTGAACAAACACTTTTAGTAAATTTCCAATTATTTTTCAATAACTCATCTTTTTCTGTATTTTTATTTAGAAAAAATGAATATCGATGTTGTAGAGTTTTTCATTCGTTCTCTTCGTGCACTTGTGTTCTTCCTTCTTTTATGGTATATCGGAACGTTTTTCGGCTGCTTTTATATACTATTTTATTTGCCCCAATTTAAATCTGATTCTCTTATACGTGTCCGTTTAATAAGATTTCAAACAATGTTCACTGATGATTGTTTTAATCTTTCGCACTCATCTTGTTCTTTTCAAATAGACATTAGAGATTATTTTTTCTGGACCAGAATAGTAGTGATTTATTACTTATCACGGCTGGTATGCTGTACATGTGGCATCGCACTGTTTGCTTTTCGAATCTTGTTTCTAATTTAATTATTCTTGCCGGTATTATTCTTCGAACTAATCTTATTCTTTACTGTGAAAGAATACTTTATATTACTGGTCATATATGTTTGGGATTGTTTGTTGTATCCATGTGCATGTGTATGGGAGAATATTTATTTGAAGAGAATGATCCATTCAGTATGCTTTGTGTATTTGATTTACCGTTCAATAATCTTCATGAATACCTGAAAAATAGTACTTCGATACGTGTGAAATTTTACCAATGGATAAAGTATATAGAGAGAAAATGGAATATTAAAGAAACAAAATTCATTTTTACTATAATCGTTTATATAATTACAAATGTTATCACGATAATTGTATCTATTTATGTAGATAATATTTTTCTTCTAACAAGTTAACTGTTGTAAGATAATATATCTAAATTGTGAATAAAATAGTTTTGAAAGAAAATGATCAATATCGGAACGAAATTCTATATGCATTTCATGCATGAAATGATAAGGAGGGTGAGTTATTGTAACTCATATAAGAGAACGTTTTTCAAAAATGAATTCATGAATATCACTGAAGAAATTACCAATCAAAAGTGTAAACTATATCTGTTGCCGCAAAACTCAAATAAAAGATATGAAAATATATTTAGTATTATAATAATAACAAAGAAATTAAAAATCTCCATAGTTTAATAACAGTCATTGAAATGTATTCGATTTTACTCATACACAAACTCTCTTTGGAAGAAAATCATTCGGACTATCAGAAAACCAATATTTCCCAAAAGTCAATGAACATGTTCCAAAGACAATTCACATTAATCCGATTATTTATCTAAAAAATCTTTTAGTTTTTTCTGATATATTTCAAAACAATTTCGTCTTTTATTTGATCAGATATTTTCATGTTATCTTTACTATAGTTTAATCAGATCACTCGACTCTTCTTTAACCGAAAAATATTCTCACACTATCTAGTAACTCAACAAATCATTTCTTTTTTGTTTGAAATATGGTGAATTATTTACATTTATTAATGTCATAAATGATGCGATTAAAATGAGAAAAAGAAAAATCACTAACACTGTCATATTCAGAGATAAAAAAAATGGAATGTACAAAATGAAAAAAAGTGAATATAGTAGAAAAAACACTGCTTGTCACTGTTAATTATACTAATTAAAACATATTGAGAGTAAGCAAAGTGAGAAACACACAGAAGAGTAAGGACGGAACCATTGTTGATGATGATGCATAATAAAACAAAAATTCATCAATAACTTGCCATGGATTTCGACCGTCATCATAACGAATTGGACAATCGTCATCTAATTTATGAGAAAAGATTTCTTTCTTCCATTTCAAACTCATAACTACTTACGAATACGCTCAGCTTCGTCAAGTTCAATTCGAAGATCAGCACCATCTTCTGCTCGATAACTTTCCGATGTTTGATTAAAACCACAGAATGAGCCTGCTGATCTTGAGAGGTAGATTTTAAATAAATCAAAACGTTCATAAACCCAACACTTGAAATTAATATACGGATCATCACGATCGTATGTTATTAAATATGATCGTGAATCTTCTCTCCAATAACCTGCACATTGATAAATATAATCAGGTTGTTCATAAACACCAATTGGTGTTCCATATGGATCTAATTGTCGACAATATTCACGATCAGCTAACATTGCTTTGGTCTGATCACCACAGATTGTCCATTGTGAAACCATATATTTGGGATCACAAGTGATATACCAACCGTGATCACGTGGACGTGGAGTAATACCACCACGAATACGTGTTTGAATGAGAGAGTTAGGTTGACCAACTTGTTTAAATGTCCACATACCAGTGAAAGGACATTCGACTGGTGCGGGAGGATCCAAAACAAATACTTGATACTTCCAATTGGCATCATTACCAAAACTTGTCCACGAACAAACTTCATAAAGTGGATCACGTTTTGATAGATCATCATAGACATTGGACATGAAAGATTTTGATTTTCGATATCGAAGAATATTATGATGACGATCTTTGAAATCGAAACAGATATAATATGAGAAACATTCGCCTTTCGTCACAGTTTTCACTAAATATTGTTGTCGACTTATTTGTTGACAAACATAATATGTTTCTCGTAACCAACCACGATTATTAACTTGAGATATTTCATGAATATGTGTTGCGTTAATAATTGTTCTTGCATTAACATTTGCTGTGTTAACCCATTCACCAGTAAAATTATCTGGAAAAAAACACGTTGGTGTTGGAACTTCTGGAATGATCGGTGAAATAATGACTTTCTCTGGACCATCTGTTGGTGAATAAAGACGAGAACATTCAGCAAAAAGAGATTTGGCAAACCATTGTGGTTGATCTTGTCTTGTTAACATACAACGAAATTTATCATACCAACGTTCTGAACCAACACGTTCATTGGCGATACCAGTAAAAACATCTCCTTTCTCGTTAATCCAATAACCCAAACATTGATATAATGGTTGAGCATCAATAGAAGACACAAGATCACGACAATAGCCATATGTCATCCAGAAACGTTCATTAACTGCTTCGAACGGTGTACCAGGATCAGGACATGAAACTAAACGTGATATTGGATTATCACAAATACCGATTCCACCTTCACGGAATTCATAAGTGAAATGATATGTGCCGTAAATCGTTGCACGACATTCTTCTGCTGAATAGGTTTTTGCTGAAAACGAACGAAAGAAAAATTGTTTGAAAAGAAAAAAATGAAAAAGAAAAACTTACAAAACAAAGTATCAAATTCCGCTTCCTGATTAATACTTGCACAAAGTTCTTGATAATTCATCTGATTTGTTACTATTGATGTAATTTCATTGCATTCACTTTTTCTGGTTTGAAGAATATTTCTTGTTCGATTATAAATTTGAAAACATTGATAACAAGACTTCTCTCTTTGAAAAAGAAAATGAATTAAAATAGAAAAGATTTCAATTTCTCACTTGTCACGATAAATCAATTGAAAATGATGTTTTGACGAATGATCAAAAGGATTTTCTCTCCATTCAAGATTGATACATTCACCCAATGCATGATTATCAAGAATTGTGATAATACTCGCTGTTGCACCAAGACCTGATTGACGACGATAGTAAAGTATATCAATATCTCCATTATCTTTAAATGATGTGTGAGTTTCAAGACCATTTTCATATGAATAATATTCTCCTAAGATTGGACGATCAAATGTACAACGAAGTTGACTTTTCACTAAAATAAATCATCAAAAATCAATGTCTTTTCCATTTATTTGACAAACCTGTTTGTTCACTGAATATCACCAAGAAAAGAAACATCAACTGTCTTGTTGATGTTAACATCTTATCTGAAAAATGCAACATTTTGAACAATAATTGTTGAAAAACAACAAATCTAAATAAGAATGTAACAAAAAAAAAGCACCTTTGATTCTACAGAAATATTCGATAGATGAGAAAAACAGAAAAGAACCGAGAAGATTATCTGACAATGTTTTGATTTACATTTAAAAAAAAACAAACAAAAAAGTTTGTTTTTATCTGACATTGGAATGATTTGTGAAGTATCTGAATTTAACAAATGAAATAAATGAATAAAAGACAAAGAAGAAAAAAGATTTTATTCATTTTCATATTTGGCGATTTTGCATAATAAAAATTGAATTCTTCTAAATCGATAAATACATTTCGACCATCATCATAACGAATTGGACAATCATCATCTAATATTCAATGAAAAATCAACAAATTCTTTTCTCATTTACAATAAGATTAACTTACGAATACGTTCCGATTCAAGAAGTGTCACAGCAAGATCAGCACCATCTTCTGGCCGATAACTTTCCGATGTTTGATTAAAACCACAAGCTGAACCTGCCGATCTCGATAATGTAATTGTAGTTAAATCTCTTCTTTCATAAACCCAACATTTGTAATTTATATATGGATCATCACGATCATAAGTTACCATCATTGATCGTGAATCTTCTCTCCAATAACCCGCACATTGATAAATATAATCAGGTTGTTCATAAACACCAATTGGTGTTCCATACGGATCTAATTGTCGACAATATTCACGATCAGCAAACATTGACTTTGTTTGATCACCACAAATTGTCCATTGTGAAACCATATATCTCGGATCACAAGTGATATACCAACCGTGATCACGTGGACGTGGAGTTACACCACCACGAATACGTGTTTGAATGAGAGAACTGGGTTGACCAACTTGTTTAAATGTCCACATACCAGTAAATGGACATTCGATTGGTGCGGGTGGATCCAAAACAAATAATTGATATTTCCAGTTGGTATCACCACCGAAACTTGTCCATGAACAAACTTCATAGAAAGGATCACGATTTGGAAATAATTTGTATAAATTTGCCATAAAAGATTTTGATTTTCGATATCGAAGAATATTATGATGACGATCTTTGAAATCGAAACAAATATAATAAGAAAAACATTCACCTTTCGTAACCGCTTTAACCAGATATTGACTTCTTGATGTTTGTTGACAAACATAATATGTTTCCCGTAGCCAACCGCGATTATTAACTTTTGCTGTTTCGTGAATATGTGTGGCATTGATCAATACACGTGCGTTAACATTTGCTGTATTAATCCATTGTCCAGTTAAATTACTCGGGAAGAAACATGAAGCAACTGGCTACAAATATTCAATTTTCTTTGAAGAGAACTTGAAAATGAAGAAACAAAACGAACCTCTTCTGGAATTACAGGTGAAATAATAATTTTTTCTGGTCCATCTGTTGGACTACTCAGAGATGAACATTCAGCAAAAAGAGATTTGGCGAACCATTGTGGTTGATCTTGTCTTGTTAACATACAACGAAATTTATCATACCAACGTTCTGAACCCACACGTTCATTTGCAATAGCAGTAATAATATTTCCATCAGGTGTTGACCACGATCCCAAACATTGATTTAATTGATCAGCATCAAATGATGATGTTAAATATTTACAATAACCATATCTCATTCGAAAACGTTCATTAACCGCTTCGAACGGTGTACCAGGATCAGGACATGAAACTAAACGTGATGATGGATTATCACAAATACCGATTCCACCTTCACGAAATTCATAAGTGAAATGATATGTTCCGTAAATCGTTGCACGACATTCTTCTGCTGAATATGTTTTTGCTGAAAAAAAAAAGAAAGGAGAATTATTTGAAAAGGAAAAAGAAGAAGAAGAAGAGAAACGTACAAAATAAAGTATCAAATTCCGCTTCCTGATTAATACTTGCACAAAGTTCTTGATAATTCATCTGATTTGTTACTATTGATGTAATTTCATTGCATTCACTTTTTCTGGTTTGAAGAATATTTCTTGTTCGATTATAAATTTGAAAACATTGATAACAAGACTTCTCTCTTTGAAAAAGAAAATGAATTAAAATAGAAAAGATTTCAATTTCTCACTTGTCACGATAAATCAATTGAAAATGATGTTTTGACGAATGATCAAAAGGATTTTCTCTCCATTCAAGATTGATACATTCACCCAATGCATGATTATCAAGAATTGTGATAATACTCGCTGTTGCACCAAGACCTGATTGACGACGATAGTAAAGTATATCAATATCTCCATTATCTTTAAATGATGTGTGAGTTTCAAGACCATTTTCATATGAATAATATTCTCCTAAGATTGGACGATCAAATGTACAACGAAGTTGACTTTTCACTAAAATAAATCATCAAAAATCAATGTCTTTTCCAATTATTTGACAAACCTGTTTGTTCACTGAATATCACCAAGAAAAGAAACATCAACTGTCTTGTTGATGTTAACATCTTATCTGAAAAATGCAAAAATTTTGAACAATAATTGTCGAAAAACAACAAATCTAAATAAGAATGTAACAAAAAAAAAGCACCTTTGATTCTACAGAAATATTCGATAGATGAGAAAAACAGAAAAGAACCGAGAAGATTATCTGACAATGTTTTGATTTACATTGAAAAAAAAAACAAACAAAAAAGTTTGTTTTTATCTGACATTGGAATGATTTGCGAAGTATCTGAATTTAACAAATTAAATAAATGAATAAAAGACAAAGAAGAAAAAAGATTTTATTCATTTTCATATTTGACGATTTTGCATAATAAAAATTGAATTCTTCTAAATCGATAAATACATTTCGACCATCATCATAACGAATTGGACAATCATCATCTAATATTCAATGAAAAATTAACAAATTCTTTTCTCATTTACAACAAGATTAACTTACGAATACGTTCCGATTCAAGAAGTGTTACAGCAAGATCAGCACCATCTTCTGCTCGATAACTTTCCGATGTTTGATTAAAACCACAAGCTGAACCTGCCGATCTTGATAATGTAATTGTAGTTAAATCTCTTCTTTCATAAACCCAACATTTGTAATTTATATATGGATCATCACGATCATAAGTAACCATCATCGAGCGTGAATCTTCTCTCCAATAACCCGCACATTGATAAATATAATCAGGTTGTTCATAAACACCAATTGGTGTTCCATATGGATCTAATTGTCGACAATATTCACGATCAGCAAACATTGACTTTGTTTGATCACCACAGATTGTCCATTGTGAAACCATATATCTTGGATCACAAGTGATATACCAACCATGATCACGTGGACGTGGAGTTACACCACCACGAATACGTGTTTGAATGAGAGAGTTAGGTTGACCAACTTGTTTAAATGTCCACATACCAGTGAAAGGACATTCGACTGGTGCAGGAGGATCCAAAACAAATAATTGATATTCGATATCGAAGAATATTATGATGACGATCTTTGAAATCGAAACAAATATAATAAGAGAAACATTCACCTTTCGTAACCGCTTTAACCAGATATTGACTTCTTGATGTTTGTTGACAAACATAATATGTTTCTCGTAACCAACCACGATTATTAACTTTTGCTATCTCATGAATATGTGTAGCATTGATCAATACACGTGCATTAACATTTGCTGTATTAATCCATTGTCCAGTTAAATTACTCGGAAAGAAACATGAAGCAACTGGCTAAAAAATATTCTATTTTCATTGAATAGAACTCGAAAATGGAGAAACAAAACGAACCTCTTCTGGAATAACAGGTGAAATAATAATTTTTTCTGGTCCATCTGTTGGACTACTCAAAGATGAACATTCCGCAAATAAAGATTTGGCAAACCATTGTGGTTGATCTTGTCTTGTTAACATACAACGAAATTTATCATACCAACGTTCTGAACCAACACGTTCATTTGCAATAGCAGTAATAATATTTCCATCAGGAGTTGACCACGATCCCAAACATTGATTTAATTGATCAGCATCAAATGATGATGTTAAATATTTACAATAACCATATCTCATTCGAAAACGTTCATTAACGGCTTCGAACGGTGTACCAGGATCAGGACATGAAACTAAACGTGATGATGGATTATCACAAATACCAATACCACCTTCACGAAATTCATAAGTGAAATGAAATGTTCCATAAATTGTTCGACGACATTCTTCTGCTGAATAGGTTTTTACTAAAAAAAAGAGAATTGAAATTGAAGGGAAATCAAATCTCCAAAGAAAAACTTACAAAAAAGTGTGGTGAATTCACTTTGATCATCAATTGTTTGACATAAATCATCAAAATTCATTTGATTTGAATCTAAAGATGTTGTATCTCCACATGAACCTTAACAAAAGATTATTTTCTCATTTGTTTTCTCAAAATGTTTTCAGTTTGAAATACTTTTGCGAATTTGATTAATATTTCTCGTTCGATTAAATATTTGATAACATTGAAAACAAGATTGAGATCTTAAAAATGAAAATAAACACAAATATGGAAAAAGAAATGTAAATCACTTGTCTCGATAAATAATTTCATAATAATTTTGTCTTTTTGTTAATTTAAAACATTCACCTAAATCTTCATTAACAAGAAGACCACCCGTATCTTTTCTTGTTGCACCTGCACCAGTTTCTCTTCGATAAAATCTTCTTTCAATATCTCCATTATCTTTAAATGATGAATGTGTTTCAAGACCATTTTCATACGAATAAAATTCTCCTATTAATGGACGATCAAATGTACATCCAGGAACACAATCTATGACAAATACAAGGTTTTTTTTTAGCTTTTGTTTAACAGGAAAAGTTATACGAACCATTAAAATAAAAGAAATTGAATAAAAGAAAGATAAAGAAGAGAAACATAATTGTTTGTTCGAAGAAATATTCAATGAAAAATGTTCAATCGATCAATCAGCCATATTTTTTTTTCAAATTGAATCAATGAAAAGAGACTCTATGTACAGGTAAAGGTCAACCTGGATAGATGGCATTCTTTTCGAATTTCATTCGTTGAAATTCTTTTTTCTTTCTCTCAGGTGACGAACGAACAAACGGACAAATGAAGAAAGAGGAAAGAAAAAAGAAATTCTTTTCTCTTTCAACTGTATAAATTGACAAGAGAAAAGAAACGACGACGAGAACTCATAAAACTTTCTTTTTATGATCTGCAATGATGATATTTCATCTTTAACATTGGATTTTTTTTGAAAAATATCAATCGATGATCATCTACATGGTTTCTTTTAGAGAAAATGTCAAAATTCATAAAGAAAAACAATTTAATCTTTTGAAAAAAAAAAGATATTTGAAATAAATATTTAATAGATAAGAGAAAGAAAAACGCGTCATCTGTTATCGGATTTGATGTTCTTGAAAACAAATTTTTATTCATGAGGAAAGAATTTCTATGTGAAACATTTTGGAAATTTCTTCTTTGATTTTCATCAAATTTTTTCGTCTTCAGCGATCAATTAGTTTATTGTAGAATTAACAAAAAACATTTTCATAATAAAATATTCTTTGCAAAGATAATTTATTTATGGAAATTGTTCATTATTATGAAATAAGAAGAAATTGAATTTATCATTTCGAACCAATCCAATGATCAATTTGCTTTTTAGTTTTTTTTCTTTTTCAAAAAGAAAAACAAAAAATGTTTGACATCATCATAAGCGGATTTTTACGTCGTTAGGTTTTTTTTTTACGGAGAAAAATAAGACCAGAAAAAATCCAAGGAGACGTGAGTTATCCGGTATTTG